AGCACACTGTTTAATCTCATTGATGGATTTTTCTCTGAAATTTGCCATAATTTGTACTGACATGCGTATGTCAGTGTGGAGATTTTTGCTGAAAACAAATTTAAAACCTTCTTCTTCCTCCATTCCGGTTTCATTTCTGTAACCAAAATAAGCTTGGAAGATTCTTTTGTAATAGACTTTTGGATGTTCATGCTTGCCCTGCGTGACCTTGTCAGCAGCCGGGAAACCAGCAGGTCCCGTGCAGGGGTCGTACTCTCTGATCAAAGCTTCACACAGAAGGTTGTAGTCCCTTCTCGTTGCATCAGGTAGACGCTCGATGAAGGTGAACACCTCTCTGTCTGAAGTGAGCCTTATCAGACTGATTTTATCCTCAACCGTAGCATTAGGATAACCACTCAGTCTGAATTCAATGTCTTTGAGGTACGCTTTTGTTCCAGTTGAACCCATTGGTCCTGGTACAAAGCGTTGTACATATTTTGAGAGTTTTAGCAGATCTTCTATTGAAAGAGGAAGTTTCCATGCTCTCTGTTGCATGTTTGGTAGAGGAGACCTGTTCAGGTCTGTTCCTACCACTTTAGGTATGGATGGATGTGTGTGTGATGTAAGGAGATTTGGTTCTGAAACCCAGTGTGTCTCCACATTCTGTCCACGCCTCTCACCATATTTCCTTTCTGCATGGCAAAGTTGTGTTTTAAGCACGTCTATCTCAGCTTTGCAGCGGGAAACTTGTGACACTGTCACAACGTGATCCCGTCTTAATGCAAAGTATTCTCTGGACAACAGCTCTTTAGCATCCCTGGCTTCAGACAGTGATGCATTAAGTAACTGTATTTTGCTGTTCAGTGAATCAATTTCTGCACGTGCATCTTGTTGTGATTGAAACATCTGTTCAAAATGTTTTTTTGTGAGGACCTCGTGTTCACTTTTAAATTGAAGGAAGTGTTCTTCAATTTCCTGAACCACCTCTTTTTCGCTGTTTAACCTTATCTCAAGGTCGTCAGCTTTTTCTACCACTGTATAGAATGATTCTTTCAGCAAGATTGCCATTTTAGCCAGCTTTTCATAGCTTGACTTTGTTATTTCTGTAGAGGTCACACTCTCTGCAACCTCCATCAGCTCTTCCAATAACTCTTTTGGGTTCATGCTGTCCACCTGTGCACCATATGGATGTAAAGATTCTGTGAGCAGCGTCAACGCTCTCTCTAAACATTCCATTTTGGTCTCAATTTTCTTTTCTGTTCCATCAGCCATGGTCATTCACTGTTCAGCACTTTATCTGGTTAAAACAGTTGCCAGCTTCAGATATTTCAACAGGTAAATATTTGTATTCAAGTGAGCAGTGAGTTTCACACACTTTTTAAGCTCTGGGTTTACACAAAAGTACTGTTATAAGTCAACTTATTCAGAGGAATGGGCACCAATTCGTAGGTTTTACCCCAATTCATGAATATTTAAGTAAATGCCTCTTTGGCAGTGTTACTTTTTAATGTGCTTATTTTTTAACAGATACTAGATTACCAAGCTTCTCAGTGTTTTTTACTCTAAAGCACTTAACATTAAATAAATCTGCAATTTTTCTAAAAGTTTAAAGCAATTTCAGTTTTTAAACGCTTTCTTAAGCCGTTCTTTTCCAGAAATTCGCTATTTTAACAGTTACTCATTGAACCAGGTGGTGAAAAGAAAAAGAAAAATTATGAGGAATTATCAGTCCCTCTTCAGGAAAACTGTTATACTCCTCTTCAACAGCAGGTGGTGGTGTAAGCTTATTTATACCAGCAGGAGTCTGACAACTTCCTGTGGATCGTTTGTTGACATCCTGTTGTTAGCTTTTTAGCTTAAAATTAGCATCGGCTAAACTCGGTTAAATCAACATTTCTGAACGGATTTAAAGCTTAAACGTGGCGTTGTTTCAACAAGCACGACTTCTTTGCATGAAACATGAGTTTTGGGGACATGTGGCATGGTTTTAAGCACAGAAAAGGCTTCGGTTCAACCGAGCTTTACAACCTGACATCAGAGGAAGTGACGCAGACACGTCACTCATTTCTCAGCGTATCAGAGCGTTCCACACGGCCGTTCTCAACCGATCACAGAGAAAAACAGCGGGGGTGGGTTTTATATCGCTGACTCAGATGAAGTGACGCAAACACGTCACTCATTTCTCAGCGAATCAGGGCGTACCACACAGCCGTTTTCAACCAATCACGGATCGTTTTTCCAGCTAGCGTCTTAGCATTTAGCATAAACATTCTGGTCAACTTTTCGTCTTTTAAACTGTCAAAATGTACCATTTTCTGTTAAAAATGTAACTAATAAGCTCTCAAAGCTCCACTGAGACTGCGCTCAGTCCTTAAAACGTCTCTCCATCCATTTAAAACACTCGTTCGGACTTATCAGAACCGAGCCGGACCAGAACCAACGTCTGGGTCACAGTTTAAACAGAATAAAGCGTTTTAACACAAACCCAGCTTCTTGTTACACAACAGATGTACAAATTCAGCTTTCAAAAAGACACATTGACTTTAATTTCAGCTTTCAAAACATCACTAGCTGCCAGCATTGCTGTATTTTCTCCGAGCATCGCAGCTCAAAACGCTGCGTTTCACACAGCAGAAATCTGCACTTTTCATTTCATGCCAACATGATAATTCAATTGTTACACGAATACAGTCCATTTATGAACCTGTCACGGGCCACCAGTATGTAGATGAACATATTATGTGATATATTCATAAATTAAACGGATTCATTCATTTTTCTGGACTG